TGATGGCAGCGGGTTTGATTTATTAGTCAAGTTGGGTTGGGTTATGCTGGCTTAGAACATCATGATGAACATAACTAATGTCACTAACTGTACACACGAAGATTGTTGAAATGTCAAATGTTTTGTCACATATATATTTACCACACATACACACAAACACACACACAAAAGAGCAGACTAGACAGACACACACAGGGAAAGACTCCGTAAGAGGACAGATCCACATGGCAAGCACATCTATCTACAAGCCCAGGAACTCCTCGAATTGCTGGCAGCTACTAGAAGCTGAAATAGATAAAGAAGGATCCCCTCCCCCTCCCCAGCCACGTACTGAGAAAACATATTTCTGTTCTGTAAAACAAACAACAACAACAAAAACTCTCAGTGGCTTAAAAGCCAGAGGTTGACTTCCCTTTCTCACGCACATCCATCTTCACACCATCCACACTCCAGGACACAGGCTGCCAGAGCAGGCACCCTCCCCAGGACTGCTGGTCTCCAGGCTGGAGGGAAAGAGATGCCTGGAGAATCACCAGTGATTCTTAGAGCTTCCGCCCAAACACAAGTCACTTCTGCTCATGTTGCTCTAACTTCAGGAGTGCAGGGCAGGGCAGTTGCACCACATGCCGAGGAGGAGAACTGGAAATTTGGTCAACAGTACTAATGACTCCCAGACAGTCTGGTCTCTGAAGGGATGGGGATAAAATTGGGGTGCAGTCTGGTATAATGGACTGGACATTAGACAGCCAGGGATTTTCAGTTATTAGCTCTTATCCTTGGTCAAATGATATAAACTCTAAAAGATATAGTTTACTTATTGTTTAAATGTGGAGCCCTGGTGGCAAAGTGGTTAAGAGCTTGGCTGCCAACCAAGAGACCGGCAGTTCAAATCCACCAGCCGCTCCTTGAAAACCCTATGGGAAAGTTCTACTCTATCCTATAGGGTCGTTATGAGTTGGAATTGACTTGCAACGGGTTTGGTTTTTGGATCCCTTAGATAGGGAGTTAGGCGGGAGGGGGTGGTGAATGAAAGGAATAATTACACCTGTTTGACCTACCTCATAGGAATGTTTTTTGGATCAAAATAAGGCAATCCAATGAAAGTGAAAGAGAAATGAAAAGGGAGCAATATTATTTTAATGATGGACTAGTCATTGGCCCTGTTCTTGGATGGCACAGACATTTAAACACTTGGCTGCTAACCAGAAGGCTGGTGGTTTGAGTCCACCCAGAGGCAGCTCAGAAGAAAGGCTTGGAGATCTGCTTCTGAAAAATTAGCCATTGAAAGCCCCATGCAGCACAGTTCTACTCTGATGCCATGAGTCAGTTTACTGATGCCAGTTCTACTCTGGTGCCATGCATCAGTCTACTGGTTAGTCACTGGTTCAGTATTTTGCACCCCATAGATAATTCTCATGTGAGCTGTATTTACTAGGATAAGCTTGCAAGTAACCGAAAATCCAAAGTAACCGTAGCTTAAAATGATAGATACTTAGTTCTCCCTCAGATAAAAAGTCCAGAGGCTCCTAGCCCAGGGTGAGTAAGATGGCTCCACAATGAAAGGAGTCTGCTGCCTTCCACCTCACTTCTTGGTCATCCTTTATGTGTGTTTCCCCGTCTTTGCCTGGGTTCCCTAAAAACCAGAGCTTGTGGCAAAAGCTTGTGCGTTAATACTTTATTGGGGAATGGGAGGGAAACAGTCAAGTGAAGCAGAGAAGGAAGGAGTGAAATACAAAGAAAGGGCCGTATTATTAAGCAGGCCTCAGCAGATTGTTAGGTCTCATGGGGTGTCTCCAGAAAGGCCTTTTGGGGCTTGGAACAGTACACGTGGGAGGAGGAAGGGAGAAGAATGATCTGTCTGGTCTTGGCTCCCATGGGTCCAAGTGTACTTCCCAGGCATCAGGACCCCCACACTTCCAGGTTGCACCATCTGGCATCTCCTGCCAGGGCAAGCCAGATACCAACACATCAGCAGAAGCATCTGCAGTTGGGACTATGGCACATGGAACCAGCCAGTGTGGAGAGGGAGCCAGCAGGACTCTCCACCCGCCTATTAGCAGCGGGAATCTCCTGCAGCCCAACGCATGGCCTGGATGTTGGTGTGTGTGCTTGGGTGAGTGCGTCCCAGTCTTGCTCCTCAGCAGCAAGAGGGAAGCCCTGAGGCAGGAGGTAAGGCATGTGATGGGAGACATGAAGCAATGTGCTGTTGGGTTGGACCTGCAAGTCACACAAGGGACCACAAACATGTGTAGGTGAAATGTGATAGCACCATAACCTCTTCCACAAGATGGCTTGGAACTCAACAAACCTCTCTCCAAAAAATCAACCCCTTCTGTGGGCTGTAAGAATGTGGTTGGTGCAAGGTGATCATCTCAGAGGATCATTAGTGGCATTGAGTACAACACCATGGCTGAAGTCCTAAGAGGGACATATAATGACTCTAACACACACCTCATATGCCAAAACGGCTGCTTGAGCTCCAGCCATCATGTCCACATTCCTACTAATAAGGAAGATGGAAAGGAAAGATAAAAGTGCATATCCCCCATCTACAGCCACTTCCCAAAAGTTTCACATGACATAGTTACTGACTTCCCACTGGCCAGAGCTTAGTCATAGGACCATACTTAGATGTAAATTGTAGTCTTTTTTTCCGGGGCAGGGGGATGGATCTCATGCTCAGCCAAAAATTGGCAGAAAGATAGAACAAGATACTGGGGCCAACTAGCAGTTTTGCCAGAGCAGCCAGGGTTGGGAGCCCCTGAGCTAGCACAGAAGAGTAATGTGTGTCCACATTTCAGATAAGCAGAAGCAGGGGTCAGGGCAAGGGGAAGGAAGGAAAGTGAGGAGAGTTGAATGGAGGAAATATTCCAGGGGAAGACAGAGAAGAAGGAAGAGTGTGAAAAGGAGGGGTGAATGCAGGAAGAAGAAGAGGACAAGAGAATCCCTCCACAACTGGGCTTACGTTGTTTCTATGGAAACCACCAACTCTTTAATGGGTAACAGATGAAGATGAGTGTGAGGGTGGGTTCCTGGCCAGCAGCAGCCTCTTCATCCACCTTTATCCAGCCAAGCTGCACTGACCTTATGTTAACCTTGACAGGTACTGCCTCACCCCTGCCCCTTAGCATAGAATCTGGGCAGGGCAGATACCTCCCTCTTATCTGTATTCTGCTGTCCTCTGTTCCCCACCTACCCTAAGAGGAAGAGGTCAGATATATCCCTTCTAGGGTTGCATGGTGTGCATCTCTCCCCATCAACCTAGCATCACCCTCAGGGTCTTCTGTGGCTCCTTGCTTTCTGAAATGGTCTTTCTTGCGTCTAAGAAGCTTCTGGCGAGATGAAAAATAGGCTCCAGTCTGCAGGACACTGAGGCTGCCTATGCAGGCAGCCACTTGTTAACCAGCGTTTGGTCAGGATGTACTGGCTTCAGCCTCACCAGGTGCATCACAGCCCACAAAAATGTGCAGAGAAACTCCCTCCCCCACTAGTATCCTGAACTGAAACTAGCTGGGTGCTTCCCCAAACGGTCATGAACTGAAACCATCCAGTACCTCAGGCAACTGAGCCGTCTTCTCCACCTTTAGGCCCCCAGCCTCTGCGGAGAGCAGCCTGGTCCACTGTGTGTTGCAGCTCCTGCCTTTGCCTGGACGGCCAAGTCACAACAGAGGCATTCCCTCACTCCAGGACACAGGTGGTGTGTGCTGGCCCAGGAAAGGATTTGAAGGTGGCTGGGGTTTGCCTCACCAGAGACCAGGAGAGAGTGGGTAAGGGGCTTGCTTACATGTGAGCAGGAAGTGTCTTTGGCTTTTCCTTTGCCCCTTTTTTCAGCTGCAGCTTTAAATGCTGGATCACAGCAGTGCTGCAGGCAGATCCTTTTCTGGAGGGCAGCCTGGACCATGTGAAGAGAAGGCTCTTTGGAGTCTTGTGTTCAAATCCCGGCTCGCCCAAATACCGTGCAAACTTGACAGGTGATAGCCTTTCTGAGCTCTGGTTTTCAATTCTGTAAAAAGAGGATATAATATATGCCTGATTGGGTTATAGGCAGGATGGAACAAAAGCATGCTTGAGAAGCACCTGGCGCGTCCAGAGTAAACAGTGGATTCTTTCTGTCCCCCACCCCCATCAGTTCCTAGAGGGCAGGCAGCTTGCCTGCGCCTCCCATAGGAGGATCAGGCCTTAACCAGCCTCGATGAAATATTTAACACCAGAAATAAGAGCACAGTGCTTCCCCTGCCAGAGGAACAAAGTGGTCCCCCACCGGGCAGGGCTGCGGGGCTTAGGGTGCCACCACAGCAGTTTGCAGGCTGCCCTTTTGTATGGCTGCTTTGGGGTCACAGGCCAGCTGGGCCTGCCACTGTCTCCCAGTGACCACTGCCCGACCTTCTCCAGATCCTCCGCTCCTGGTGTGACAGGCAGTCCACCGCCGCGAGCCACCCCGGGCCACCCGGTTTCCAGGGTGTCCTTTCGAGCTTTACAAACGCTGTCTCTAGGCAGGCCCCTCCCTGCGGCTGCTCCCAGAACTGACGCCTTAATTAAAACTCTCCCTACATCCTAATTCCACTTACCGTCCTCTTCCGCCCACTTCTTTACAGTCGCACAAGCCTTTTTTTTTTTAATTTTTCATTTTTATTAAAGAGTGATGTCCCTTCACCTTTATTTGAACAGAGAACAAGTCTGTGGCCAAATATTAAGCGGGCTCCCCAGATGTGCCGGTAAGGGGGTGACTGTCACTGGCTGGCTAGCCACGTGCTGGTGTCCTCTTTAATCCAGAGACAGCAGGGTGCCATATCCAAGGGCACAGGGGCCTCGGAGTAAACACAACCCATCATGTGAGGAGAGCAGCACCCACGCACGGGAACACTGCTGAGGTGGGGCAGAGAGGAGACCCTGAGCCATCCAGGAACAGAATCACAGGTGCTGGCAAGTGGGCTTAGTGCCGGTGGTGGGTGGAGAGGGGCTGGCTGCGCAGAGGAAGTGGTTCTCAGAAGGAGCCATCTCTGCCGAGGGGAGTGAGTAAGGCCATTCCCAGCCTGCGTGTGTCTCCAGAGAAGCATATTAGGTGAGAGGTGGATGATTAGGCTGAGGGCCGGCAGGAGAGTGGGAGTGGGGGTGGGTGAGGAGTGAGGCTCCGAAGGGCCTCCAGTTCCCAGAACGCCTGCTCACAGCCATGCCCTCATCCTTTCACCGTGTGGTCTGGAAGATGTGTCTCGTCACATGGGTAAACTGAGGCAGGAGCAGCTGCAGGTCCACAGAGGTGGGGAAAGAAGCTGAGTGTTGTAACTGTCCTGTTAGTCATTCACTCACACCCAGATTAAACTCTCTTCAACCCGGCTGTCCCCTAGCTTTAAAAGAAAAGGTTCTGGTTAGGGGTGGCAGCAGTGTGGCGGTGCCCTCCCTAGCTCCCTCCCTGACCCTTTGCTTTTCCTCCTTCTCGGTCGTGGTCTTATCTCCCGGCGCCTTTGCTCCTCCGCCCCGTCCTTTCTATTACGCCGCACACCCGGAAAACTGTAACCACACACACAAGCGCCTTTGTCAAGTTTGTCTCCTTTTCTTTCTTTTTCTCCTTGCTTCTCCTCACCACAGGTGCTGGGCTGTCCTGCAGAGCAAGATTAGAGGCATCAAACCGTCTCCTTCCCTTTGCCCTCCCCTCCCCCCGCAGAGAATCAGGAAACTCCCACATGTCGTAAGGAGCAAGCCCAGCTGTCCAAACCACAGAGCTGGATGGACTGTAACAGCGCTTTCTGATGGCCTGGGCTGGGACCTCGGCTGGGATGGAGGGCCCTCCACAGGCCAGAGCGGGCCATGTGCACCCAGCCTGAGCCTGGGGGCATGGTGCTGGGGCTCCGGAAGGGAAGTGGTGCCTCCTTCGCTTCAGTGTCTTTTTTCCACTTTGTTAGTTGGTTCCTGAGGCTTGACAGTGCTGTAACATTTGCATTTTTCAATTCTGTTTTTGAAGTTGAAAATACAACAAACAAAAATCATTGTCCAGTGAACTTACCAATCACAGAGCAGCACACTGTATGGATCAGGGGTCTGGGCCCAAGTCCTGACTGAGTGACCTTGGGCAAGTCACCTTGTGCCTCTGGGCCTCAGTTTCCTCACCTGTAAAAAGGTGAGTGTGGATGATTTTCTCCCAGGTGCTCCAGTTTTTAATATTATGATGCCCAGAGTCCCAGAAAACATTATTGTCAGCCAAAAAAGTGTTCATGAAGCAAGTCACAAAAGTGAAACTACTCTGATTTTTGTAAAAGCAAGTGTTTTATTCTCAAAGGTGATTTGGAAAATGCAGGGGTGTCCCAAAGAGGGTGAATTGTTTACTTGTGACATAAAAGGGGATGGGGCTGGTGTGCTTAAGCTAGGGATTTGTGTTTCAGAATTGGAAATGCTTTTCACCTTTGAGCACTGGAAAGAGTTAGTCACATTTACTCAAGGAAGCTGAGACGAGATTCTTTGTGCTACTCAACATGGTTTTTCACAAAGTTCTGGGCCAAGCACTGTGGTGAGTGTGTGTGTGTGTGTGTGTGTGTGTATGAAAGAGAGAGAGAAGGAGAGAGGGAGAGGGAGAGAGAGAATGAGAATGTATGTGAGTAAGAGTGGCGGGAACAAAGATGATTAGATACAGTCATTGACCTCAAGGGCTTACTGTCCAATGGGGGCGCCTAACATGCTAACAAATGACGTTATCACAGGGTGGAATGGGACCATAAACAAAGGATTCTGGGGAGAACAATGGAGAGAGTGGTTCATTCTGGCTGGAAGGACCCATAGAGGGCTTCCTAGAGTAGGTGGCATTTGGAATTTGCATTTTCCTGTAAGGATGAGCTTTAAGGATGTGGGTAAAAAGATTGGGGAAGGGCTTTCTGGGCAGAGGGAGCAGGAGCTGCCAAAATAAGCTATGGCTGTCCTTTCCTGTATGTAAGCCTTGGGGCTCATGGGCTGTTATGGATTGAATTGTGTCCCCCCAAAATGTGTGTCAACTTGGCTAAACCATGATTCCTAGTATTGTGTGGTTGCCCATCATTTTGTGATCTGATATGATTATCCTATGTGTTGTAAATCCTAGCCTCTATGATGTGTTAATGAGGCAGGATTAGAGGCAGTTATGTTAATGAGGCAGGACTCAATCCACAGGATGAAGTTGTAACCTGAGTCAGTCTTTTTTGAGATATAAAAGAGAGAAGCGAGCAGAGACGAGAGGGACCTCATGCCACCAAGAAAGCGGAGCCGGGAGCAGAGTACCTCCTTTGGACCCGGGGTCCCTGCGCTGGGAAGCTCCTGGGCTAGGGGAAGGTTGATGACACGTACCTTCCTCCAGAGCAAACAGAGAAAAAGCCTTCCCCTGGAGCTGGCATCCTGAAATCAGACTTCTAGCCTCCTAGACTGTGAGACAATAAATTTCTCTTTGTTAAAGCCATCCACTTGTGGTATTTCTGTTATAGCAGCACGAGATAACTAAGACATGGGCCAAGGCCTTCCTCACGTCCATTCTCCACAGATGGAGCAGGAGGCTCAGGAGGTTACTACACTTGATGCTCAGCTGAGATCTCTTTCTTTCTCAAGGCAGCACAGAAGTTGTCCCCAGTCTGAGACATTGATGGGAGGGGTTTCACTTCTCAGCAAAATCTTTTCTTATAACCATAATTGGTTCTTGCAAAATTGTTCTACCACACGAAAGCCTAGAAGCCAGCTTTTGAAAAGCTTTACACTGCCAAAAAGCAATCTCCAAGGAAGGATGTTGTATCACTGATGAGCCTTTTTCCATCTTTATGGCTTTTTATAGTTTGGGTGAGGAGGGGAGAGGTGAGGAGGCGTCCAAAGTTCAGAATGTTTGTGAGCAAAGTGACATTCTCCAATAAATAAACATTTCTCAACAATGGTAAACCCCCTAGCATTTATCCATTCTTTGTCCATCCATCCGTCCTCAAATATCCCCTTTTGCCAGCTGCAGTGTTATGTGTTTTGGGGGTGAGGGCGGGGAAAGGATGAGGATTCCAAAAGATAGATAAAGTGAATTCTCTTGCTTTGAAAGTTGCAAACAGATGATTAAACAGTGAACAAGGCAATGATAAGTGTATTCTACAACATTCAATGGAAAGAGCAGAAGGGAAAGCAACTGTGTCTTGGGGAATCGAGGAGGCATTCCTTGTGCTTGTTTTGAAGGATAAGTAGGAGTTTACTCACAGAGATAGGCAAGAGGGATGTTCAAAAAAGTGAAGTAGTGACTGCAAGGGTCGTGGAGTGGCAGACACCCCAAGTTCTGGCTTGCTGCTGCTAAATGACCCAGCGTCCCCCTGTGCCTTTGCTCAACTGACAATTGTTGATAAAATGCCTTTCAGCGTGAAGAGGAGTTTTGCAAGGGACATTTATTACCGTCTTACAAAACACCAAGTTAGCTGCCAGGGACTCTGTTTTGTCCACCAATTTGATTTCCCTGGTGCCAAAGCGCAGTACCAGCCCCACGTTACTAACCTAATCTGTGTGTAGTGTCACCAAAGAAGAGCATTGTAAGTGTGTGACTGAGGTACGACAACTGTGTTTTGTTAGCTAGAAAAAGAACAAGTGCCATTACCTTGACTATACTCAGAAAGGAATGCACTAAACCTATTACTGCTTTATTAGTGAGCTTTTTTTAAAATAGAAGATGACATCCGACTTAGTGGTAATATTTGTGTTAATAAGCCTCATAAATGCATAGAACTGAAGTAAATTTTAAACAATTGGGAATTGTTGCATGAATTCATCTCCTAAGGCTGCTGTAACAAAGTACTGTATAGTGGGTGGTTTATAAGAGCTGACATTTCCTGTCTCACTGTTCTAGAGGCTGGGAGTCCGAAATCAGGATATCAGTGTGTCGATTGCTTCTAAGACTTTGAGAGAGAATCTGCTCCATGCCTCTCTCCTGGTTTCTGGTGGTCCCAGGCATTCCTTGGCTTATGGATACATCACTCCAATCTCTGCCTCAGTCTTTACGTGGGCAATTTCCCACTGTGGCTCTTCTCACATGACACTGTGCAGAGGGTTAAGACTCCATCCACTCCGGAATGACCTAATGGTAACTGATGACACCCTCAAAGACCCTATTTTCAAACAAGGTCACATTTACAGTTACCAGGGGTTGAGACTTCAGCAAATCTTTTCTGGGGACGCAGTTCAGTCTATAAGATTGCCATTATTTGTTTACGGAATAACGATAATTTTTTCTAATTATGTTCAGTTACTTTTATTTTTCTTCTCAACATATCCGCGTTGTCTCTAGAAGATGTCTGGTGGTGGAATACATGTCCAAAAAGAAGACTGGAAGTAGGGACTTAGAACAATGTAGGCTTGGGCCTGGGCAGAGGGAGAGGCTTCCTGGCCAGCACACGGTGGGTGAGAAGGGAAGGAGAAAGGTGGGTGCAAAAAGGAGCAGAGAGGGAAGAGAGGTGGTGAGCCTGGCAAGGATGGGGGAAGCACAGAGTTCAGAGGGGTGCAGCTTAGAGTCAGAGAGGAAGGGTGACAGCTACTAAAGAGAAAATGTGGGCTTGAGGTACGGGAGAGGCCATTCTCTGCATTCCATGCCTTGTCTTCATTTTTCTCTCTGGGATTGAGACCAAAAGTGAAGGGTGTGGACCCTTTTGGGCCAGACTGGCCCCCAAATGATGGCAACTGGGGGACCTGCTGTTACTAGGGAGACCAAAGGGGGTAGCGATAGAGCAGGTGGGCCTAAAGCCCAACAGCCTGGCTTCAAACCTGGCTTCACAGTGCTGGCTGTGTGACCTTGTGTCATTTATTTCCCTTCTCTGTGTGTTTTTTTTCCAGTTGCTATGGTGTCTGTTCCGACTCATGGAGACTCCATGTGTGTCAGAGGAGAACTATGCTTCATAGGGTTTCTAATGGCTAATTTTTCAGAAGTAGATCACCAGGCCTTTCTTTTGAGACACTTCTGGGTGGACTTGAACCACCAACCTTTCGGTTAGCAGCCGAGCACATTAACAGGGACTTCCTTCTGCGTTTTAGTTCAGTAATGACTGTTTGTCTCACAGGGATTTTGTGAGGAATATAAGCCCTGGAGGCACAGTGGTTAAGGTGCTTGGCTGTTAACTGAAAGGTCAGTGGTTTGAACCTACCAGCTGCTCTGTGGGAGAAAGATGTGGCAGTCTGTTTCTGTAAAGATTTACAGCCTTGGAAACCCTATGGGGCAGTTCTACTCTGTCCTGTAGAGTTGCTATGAGTTGGCATTGACTATACGGCAACAGGTTTGGTTTTGGTTTTTAGGTGGTTGTTAACAAGTCTACCAAAAGTGAGCACAGAATAGAGAGGTAGGGAAAACCAAATTGGTAATCTCTGAGGTGCGGCCACAAAGGAAAGGAATTACATTTTTTTTAAAAAGAAACATGCTGCGTCAGGTCTCCAGATGACTGTTGTCCTTTGAAGTGGTCACCTTGGGAAGCAGAGTACTTATTCTAATGTGTTATGTTGCTCCAGATGTTTTTTTCTCTCTTCTGTTAGAATTCTTCTCAGAGATAAATTGTGAATCACATAAAATATTAATTTAATTTCATAGTCAGATCCCATATTGGACCCCAATAGTCCTCTCTCTTAATTTATTTATTCAAGAGGTTCTCAGATGGACAAGTATTTTGTGAGGCTCCACTGTATGCAGGCAAGAAAGAACACTATCACTTATTGATCAGTTACTACATCCCGCACCTTGTATGGGTTCTCTCATTACCTTACAGTGACTTTTGTTGTTGTTGTTAGGTGCCGTCCAGTCAGTGCTAACTCACAGTGACCCTATGTACAATACAATGAAACACTGCCCGGTCCTGCGCCATTCTTGCAAACCTTGTTATGCTTGAGCCCGTTGTTGCAGCCACTGTGTCAATCCATCTCGTTGAGGGTCTTCTTCTTTTTCACTGACCCTCTGCTTTACCAAGCATGATGTCCTTCTCCAGGTACTGGTCCCTCCTGGTAACATATCCAAAGTATGTGAGATGAAGTCTTGCAGTCATTGCTTCTAAAGAGCATTCTGGCCGTACTTCTTCCAAGACAGATTTGTTCATTCTTCTGTCAGCCCATGGTATATTCAATATTCTTCACCAACACCATAATTCAAAGGCATCATTTCTTCTTACAGTGACTCTGAGAGGTTGGTTTCATCACCTCCAGTGTAAAGATGAACAAATGGAGGTTCACACCTGGCGAGTGACCTCCTTCAAATCCCAGGAACAGAGCCATGCTTTGAGTCCTGTGTTATGTGGCCCCACCTTTACCACACTGCCTCTGCAGACAGGGCTTTTGCCCTCAAGGATTTATCATTTGTGGAGTATTGTAGGAAATGCTCCAGACAACACAATATGATGCAACATCTAATAAGTGTCCTAAGAAGTGTTCTGTTTTTGTAAAAAGAATTCAGAGGTGGGACTCATTTTAGCTGAGAGTATTAGAGGACTCTTCATGGAGGATTTACCATTTTACCTGGTGTCTCAGTCTCCTGGGGCTGCT